TGTCCCAACTACGGGAAGATAGGGGAGACCTATTTTTCAACGAGCGGCGTCTCCCACTAGCAACTTTCTCTCGTGGGCGGCTAGCATCTCTTTCTAACCACCGGTATCTCGTGTCCTTAGACACACCCCAATATAGTTTTCCTTTGTGGCATCATCGGAACGGGAAAGTCATTCCCGCTCGCGATCTCATCGATGAAGAATCGTTCATCTATCATCCCGTCGACCGCGGATTCGTTATTAGGATCATTGTCATTAGTTTCTCGAGTACCTAACTATCACGGTTACTTGTCCGGTTCTGTAATAATCGTATTTGCACTAGTCAATGTCTTCTCTATTGCATAGCGACAACGTGTAACCCAAACGAAGATTCGTTTCACGCCCCTAACCCTAATTCTAATGTGAATCCGATATATATATATATGTATGAGTCTAAATGAATCTAGATTCGATAAAAAAATAATTTTGCAGTCGTACATATATTAGAATATATATTTGAATATATATATTGTGGGTATATAAATAAATCACTACGAATTTCATTTTCGAAATCGAAAATCGAAATTTTACGGCCTAAAGGGTCTAAGTATGACTAACAAGAGATAGAAGTGAACGAGTAATGAGCAAAACTGTAAATAAATTGCTTTGAAAAGGCGTTTACAAGTGTTCAAACACAATAGGTGGCCCGAAAGCATGTAGTCGCAAGGGACTACTTAAAGCTTTTATTGAGGTACAAGATTAAGGCTCCTCAATAACGTTCGAGCATTTGGAAACTTAGCTCTGGTGTCCTATTGCACCTATTATCTTAGACCCTCTATTGTGTAAATCCTTTTCTTCTAAACGTAGAAACACTTCCTTTGTTTGTACCAGCAGTTACCAACCACTCTGTATATATTCAAATATATGTACAAATACATGTACAAATGTGAAATTATTTCTTGTCGAATCGTAAATACGAGGTGACTGAGAGATTTAGGTGATGGTCCCCAACTATTTTTAGACCCGACGCGCGCATCCGTTAGCGGTCATCGTATTACAAATTGCCAACGGTTCTATATTTTTGAGGACAATGTCCGATGTTACGTCAAGGATGATCGATAAATGCTATTCTCAATGAAACACTTTTCTACGGTTTCACTCGCCAGCACTCTGTCCTGATGCATTTCACTTGCAAATGTCACTACGTATCAACAATTTCCTTTTCTTTATTATTATTCATCTTAGAGTCATGGAGAGACCTGTAAATATTATATCATAATTATAGAAGAGGAATTTTGAAATAAACAACATTGCGTAAAATTAGACCGAAATAAACGTTTAAGATTACTTAATAGCTATTCTGATATCTGGGACTTTTAGTTAATTTCTTATATTATTATCTATTATTATAATTTATAATTGTAATTGTAATTGGAAAAAAGTGAATAAGTTTTTATTTTTCGGAGAAGTAATCTTATATATTTGAAGATCGTAAAGTAAGACACAGTACAAATATAATATAACATTAGGATTCTAGTAGAAAAAAATTAAGCAATTTACTTTATGAGAAACGGTCTTTATTCAATTTCTAAGAAAGAATTTGCATGCTACAATAATATTAGCGAACAAAGGAGTCTTTCATCCGTTGGCCTTTTTAAACAACGTAATTATACACATTTAAATCATTCAATTGTGATGCATTCAAAAGAATTCATCTGAATAGGTTTAAACGATCGGTTTTACTCAATTTATTTCGGTATCAGAAAATACTGCTTATGCTGAAAAGCCCGTTATTTTGTTTTCTACAACTCTGTTAAAAGATTTTCTTTGTGCCATCGATTACTTATGTAGAGAACATTTTGGTCAATCACTGCCACACAACATTATCTAACTTGATTAATCTACTGATTATATGTATTTTAATTCGCACGTACTTACATCAATATGTACGATAATTTCAAATATTTCGAAAGTTTGGAGTTCTTAATTTTAAAGTGATTTAAAGATTTAAAAAGCCTAATTTCAAAATTATGAAGTATTATTAAATATCTTTAAATATCTTTGAGCCCTTGTCAACCTTTTATTATCTATAAACCTTAAATTTCGCAAGAACCTTGCCATTGCCCGAGAATTTTTAATTTACTTTTAGTATAGCGATATGATAGTAAAGTAATATACTTTTAGTATATACTCACATTAAATACTATATACATTTATATTTTATTATTATTAAAAGTATTAATAAATTAAAAAATTTATTAGTATTATTTGAATATTTGCTAGTTTAGTTTGAATTCTTATAATATAACGAAGACAATTGTTGATATTGTATCAGGTAACATTCGCGCGTTTATGTTAATTTTCCATACCAGCCACCCACAGTTATGCATTTCCGCGTATTTACACCATTAATACACTTAGAAACGCAAGGCCGAGGTCTTGAAAATAAATACTGTTTCTACATGATGTTTTACGTAATAATACTTCGATTCTACGTAGATCAACTCATTTTAGAGTTGCAATATGATAAAAATAATTTCATAGCAATTTATAATCTCCCTTGTTTAAACAAGGAAAAGTGGGTTTTTCCCATGTTCGACGGCCACTGGTGGCAGACGCACATGATAGATCTATATTTCATGTATCAATGAAACTATTTTTATATGTTTTATACTGCATTAATGTCGTCACACCATTGCAGTAACGATGGTAATAATACAAAATTTGTAACTATTGACATTTGTTCGAATTATATATCTCTGCTAATCTTGGTGCACCGGTCACCGGTGATCCCCGTGGCATTCAACGTGTTAATTTCAATCAGGTGCCACAAATTTCCTATGCAACGATTTACAAAGAGAAACAAATGTGTATTCTATACCAGATATTTAACTTTTACGATATCAGTAGCTCTCCAAATATTGTCAACGATTATTCTGCTGATAAAGTCTTATTTCGAGCTAGACTTATACTAGCGTATACTGAGATTGGACTTCAAAAAGCTTTTACGGAAACACGTTTTTCATTTTATCTAATATAGTAGTACCATATGTACTATAAATGCTATAATATGATCGCGTTATTTATATATAATTCCTATCAATTGTACTATCAATACCGATCAACGATAATAATATCCTAAAAAAAAAAACAAAGAATTTTATTATTATGATTTAACGAATTAATGATAACAATTTCCATCGAGTCAAAACGTATAATCAATTGCACTGTTTTGATGTAAATCGAGTAAAAGGCGTGGTCTGTAAAGAAGAAGAATACCGATAGTCGGTCGCGTATGCATAACTTTGCATTGTAAATCAAATAATAATTAGTTTGTAAACTTATGATAGTAGTATTATTTCACTTTCCATCGTTTAACTCTAATTCACGAGTGTGGAAAATTGTTTGTGCAAATAAACGCGATATATACATTAATTTGTTTTAAAACCAGCTTATGTTTTTTGAATTTACACTATTTTAAATGTACACTCGTGATATTGTAATATGTGCTACTGTATGTTGATATCTTTTTGTAATATTAATTTCGTTTGTTGCAGATAACGTACAATAATCAAACCAAGATATACACATACAAGCATTCACAATGGCAAGTATCAATGAAAATACATTATTTTATAAAAGAAAATGAGTTGTTATTTAGAATTTTATTATATAATGACCGTCTTTTACAGGAATACAAAGCGCCGACAGAAATGGACACCTTCCTACCCCAAGATGGGTCTAATGCGAAGGATGGTGTATTGTCCAAGTAAGAATTTACTATATATTTACATAGATTCGACTTATTCACAGGTTCAGATTCATTGTCTATTAGCTAAAGAAATCGTATTAACAAAAATATCATCGTGAAACACAACAATCTTGTTGATTGGCTAAGCAAAAATGTTAAACAAAGTAGAATTTATTCATATTTATTGCAGATACAAAGTGCAAGTCGCTCCACGAGATATTGAGGTCGGACAGGGTGATGGAAAAAGCTTCGACCCCTTCAATGAACGAAAAGTTGATAACCCGACGACGTAAGTCGCGATATGGCAATTGATATAAAAATATATAATTAACTTATGTTCTTAACTTTTATGTTAGATACTCAGGGTTATTATATTATTTGTGATGTTTAATCAAAAATAAGTAATATCTATGTTATATAATGTTAAACAGTATGAAAGTTAAATGCACTGTAAGTGACACATTTATACCAAAATAATTGCAGCAATAATAGTCCGTAATTTCCTTTCAGGGACGGTGACACATTAACGCATTTGTTAAAAGCTGCCCTTGGAACGGGTATATTATCCATGCCAATTGCTTTCAAGAATGCTGGACTTGTCGTTGGTGTATTTGCCACAATTCTGGTGGCATTCGTATGCACACATTGCGCCTATATTTTGGTACATAAATACCAATGATATTGAACACAATAACCGAAGCAATAAACTAAGTTACGACTCATTAATATTTTAGGTAAAATGTGCACATGTTCTATATTACAAAACGAGGCGTACAGAAATGAGCTTTGCCGATGTAGCAGAAGTAGCGTTTGCCACGGGACCACAATGGGGGAGAAAATTTTCAAAACCGATCAGGTAAGATATCATGACAATAATATACAATATTTATATTTATGAAATAAAGTTTAAAAACATCTAAGGAATCGTGTTTTCAATAGGATAATAACCACATAATATGTTATTTACAGATACCTTATACAGATCAGTTTATTCACAACGTATTTTGGTACCTGTAGTGTGTACACAGTGATCGTTGCTGCAAACTTTGATCAGATCAGTAAGCATTATTATGGGGAATCGGAATTCGATATCCGGTACATGATAACCGCTTTAATAATTCCAATGGTACTGCTCAGTTGGGTACCAAATCTGAAATATCTTGCACCTGTTTCCATGGTAGCCAATATATTCATGGGATCAGGTTTAGGAATAACGTTTTATTACTTAGTTACGGATATGCCATCTATCAGCTCTGTACCTTTATTCGCGCCCATTCAAGACTTCCCGCGATTCTTCAGCATTACTATCTTTGCAATGGAAGCAATAGGTATTATTCGACTATTTAAAGGAATATTGATGTTTTACTAAGAGACTGACGTTATAGGAGTTGTAATGCCACTGGAGAATAATATGAAAACACCCCAACATTTTATCGGAATTTGCGGTGTTCTCAATAAGGGAATGTCCGGGGTTACGTTCATCTACATTTTACTTGGATTCTTGGGATACGCGAGATATCAGGACCAAACTTTAGGCAGTATCACATTAAATCTACCAACGGAAGAAGTGTAAGGATCACAATAAAATTAACCCTTTGCGGACGGGTGTCGGTATATAACCGCCCCCGAATCTGCTCATCGTTCCGGATCGGTTCACCTTATTTTGAAATGGCTGGCATACGTCTATTTTCCTGGGCGATAATGTAATGCGTATTTACGTATGGGTATAATAAACTAAACAGTATTATGTTTTCGATGAAAGAAAATTATAGATCTTTAGAAATTTTATCTTCCGTTTAACGTAAACTCGCGATGTAAGACAATGGTCGAGTCAAAACGAATTTCATTGGCATTACCAGACGAATCAACAAACTTTTTATATGTCTTATGTATTTTTTATAATACCTTATACACGATGCTTAAAATATCCAGAAAGGACATGTTGGATAGTAGTAGTAGTGATGACGAGCATTATGAACTTGACAAGATAGGAGACGACGATAGTGCTTCAGGCAGAGAAAACGAATTCCGTTCAACAAGGAATCGGCTCAGATGTTTCAATATTTCTAGTAATAGTGACAACGATGATGAACTAAATATTGATGAAAATAATACAAGCCTCGACAATGAATAACGCAAACATTCAACGTGTATATATTCTCAACTGCGCGCGCCAATACCTCTCGTCCACAGCGACGCTCGCTCGTCGAGCAGCCACGTCCGCAAAGGGCTAAGTTTGCGTTGACTATATATTATATCTTTTTTCTCTAGAGCGGCTCAAATCGTGAAGATATTAATAGCTCTTGCCGTTTATTGCACATTTGGACTACAGTTTTACGTTTGCCTGGACATTGCATGGAATAGTATAAAACATCGATTTCAGGAAAGGTCAAGAGTAAATTATATTTTAAGAACAGCTATGGCCATAGGAGCAGGTGTGTATTTTAATTTATAACCAAATTTTCGCTATAACATTTATTTCAAGTTCATAAATGTAATTTCAGAATTCTAGAAATTTAAGAAATCTGTTTATATGTTTTAGTTTTATTGGCTGTGACCGTACCAACTATCGAACCCTTTATTGGACTAATTGGTGCATTTTGTTTTTCAATATTAGGACTTTTAATTCCTGTGTTCGTCGAAACCGTCACTTATTGGGACGTTGGTTTTGGACCCGGAAATTGGGTAGCACTGAAAAACGTAATCATATGTATCATTGGGCTTATGGCTCTAATATTTGGATCTCGAAGTGCATTAATGCAAATCGCGGAACTTTACAGTTAAGAAAAATTGGTTTCATATACATAGATTTATAAATATTCCAATATTCCAAACTCCAAAAACGTTTGGAAGCCATTTAACAGGTTTTAATGCAATACATTTCTGATAATTTAATTATTTTATGATGACAATCAAGAAAATCAAATAGGATATAAATTGAAGATATCAATTTATTTTGTAAGATACGTATAATCAGAAGTTTGGTAAAATTTATATCAGAAATTTAGATGCGATCATATTATGCTTACAAGACATGTCCTAGTATTTTAGTAAGATAGAATGAATTCTAACCAACGTAACTTCGGTTGTTGTGCAAATGAGAATTCAATGAATCGAAATTAAATTCTTTTAAGAATGAGAAATTGGAAAACTAACATTCGATATAGTTCAAATAATATCTACGCACAAACAATTTATATTATAAAATGAGAACTATTAGGGGAGGTTATATGAGAAGATTTAATCGTTAATAAGTGACTAATTTGAAAATATATCTAGTAACTTACTCTGTTCCTAAAACATAATATATACTATATATATTCTATTTAATTCGTGAAGATACTAGACTGAGAGAAGTTAACAGTATTCGTAAGAAATATTTTACATCGGAGCAATACGTTGTAATTAATTTTGATTGATATTATTTATTTAACAAATTGGAATTTTTTACTTTATTATAATGATAAATTACGTTTGAACATTTTTTTATATTCTGCACATATAACTGTACCCTATTTGAAACGTATTATAAAGAATTTTAAAAAATTTTAGCTACAATTAAGATCTATAAAAATTGTTAATACATAGAGAAGTATGTTTGCGTGTTGTTAGTCTTATAAATTAACAATCAAATCTTAAAGTATAACCTTCATTTTTCTTTCTAAATTTAATAGCATGTATTATTGTAATAATTCAAACATTTGTAAACAAGCCATAACATGTTTCATGTATGTGATTCACAGTGCAGCAAATGTTTCATTCTACTGTGTTGCATTTAATACAAATGTACATTTAAAAGAAAGCAAAATCCTTCCGAAGCAATTTTTGCTTATCGAACTTGTTATAAATCAATTGACCTTTTATACAGTTGTTGGAAATTTCTACATATTCCTGGTGAAAAAGAAATAATGAAGTGATTACAATATTTAAATACAAACCATTTTACAATATCTTTTGAATTTTTTATTCTACCTTCTCATCATACATTTCCTAAGAAATATTTCTGTATAAATAACAATATCCTATTATATAATTGGTAATTTGTATCTTAATATTTTAAGTGAAATTTTTCTCTCACATTTTTATTTTTCTAATGGTGCGTAATTCAAAAGCTTCTCAATTAAATCTACGTGTCCAAGAAGCATTCTACGGCAGCAGTATCGTTTTAAACCCAATGCGTCAAGAGCATCACTGTAACATATATTATATGGTTACATATAGAAGATAGCAGCACATAGACAATATTTTGATGTACTCATTATTAACAAAAATAGTTAAAAATCTCATTTCATTCATTAAAATGAAACAAATTAACAAAAATAGTTAAAAATCTCATTTCATTCATTAGAATCTCTATACCATGAAGGTTAGAGTTCCTATTAGTGCAAACACAGTATATAAATTACGTTATTTACATTATAGTATATCTAATTTATACCGTATTTCACTCATTTAATTTGTTTTCACAGTTTGTTATGACAATGTATATACTTACCCTTCAGTGTATTCTGCCTGTAACAAACCAAGATAAGCTTCCCATTTATTACCGATCACTTTTCCACACGTAAAACAACGTACAGGTATAATCATCGTGTTTTTAATTTGATTAAGCAGTCGGATTTTTTAGTTTCAAAGTGATATTCTCGTTGATAAACGTAAATTCCACTTGCTCAATAATATCGTTCGTTCAGTTGCGATACGATTGAAACACCTAAAGTCTAACATTTGAAACAGTGTTGCCAGCACAACTACCTAAACAAAAGTACAATTAGATAGATAATCCGAAAAAATAACAGTACCAAGGAAAGCCCGTTACATTTATTACTTTATTGCTATTGTAGAGATTTAACCAAAATTTATATTTCAATGGCCACTGTCTTGTAGTAAACAATGTAACGGAAGTAAAATCGTATTTCGAATTCGAAAATCTCTTTAAATGGTTCCCATAAACAACGTCATAAGTACACACAATAAAATTACCCTCATTAAGACCGTAATAAAACCTGTCTAGACCTGCGGAATCCTATTATGGGGAACAGCAGGTAATTCCAACATTGAAATACTTCAACGCTTTCAATCGAAAACGCTAAGATCCGTTATAAATGCACCCTGGTACGTGACCAACGAACTAATACATCGCGACCTCAAGATACCAACAGTCAAAAAGGAAATAGCAAAATATAGCGACAGATATAACAAAAGAGTCAACAAACATCGAAACCCCCTAATTATTGGACTACTTGATACGTCGGACCAGATCCGCAGGCTGAAGAGACACTACCCGCCAGACCTAAACGCTAGATTTAATTAGTTATTTAAATTAAGTAATATTTACTTATTTACAACATTTACTTAAAAATTATACTTATCTATAATAAGTATTAACTTATTATAAATATTTAGCCATGTCACTGCACCGCGCCAGAAAAAATTACTGAAAATTCTCAATGCGAGAATTGATTGTAAATTTTAATAAATAAAATAAAAAATTAACAACGTATTATATAAATTTAAAAATCATCCAAGAATATTGCAAATAATTTACTCGTATTGATACTAGATGCTTTAAACAAAATTTTATTTTTTCCTTTACATTATATAGTTTTCGCTACACTTTTGCTACAAATTCTATATTTCAGTTGTCAGTAGATCTAGTTTTTCTAAAATCATACTTCTCAATGTTCCGTGGAAGCATAACAATATTTTGTCTACAAAAAGAATAAAAACATAAAATCTATTGATACAGATCGATCATATATATTACAATGTACAATAATTAGTACTCTAGTGTATAATTTTTCCTATTTCGAAATACAATTTGACATATACAGTGTATCGCAACAATCGTGGTATAATCAGCAATAGGGTAATTCTATGTGAAAAAGTCGAAAATATAGAATAGAATTCTTTTATATAATTCTTAGTTTTCAAAAAAATCGAATTTGAAATGAAATCACCTAAAATTAGTACAGTATGACATTTATTAAGAAAATAATACAGAAATAAGAATAAGTGATAAAGAATAACAGTATATGTAATTAGTAAGAGGGTTCGAAAAGGTAAATATACAGGTACGTGACTCGCGCGCCCGGAGACAAGCTGTGGTAGAGAGACAGCTGCTCCGATCGAAGGATATGAATAGAGGGGATGGAAGGCAGAGAGGGAGAAAGAGAAAAATAGGAGGCCGGAGCAAAGGGAGAGCACCATAAACATACAAGTTTCGGATTGGTTCTGCTTTCTCCTTTGTCTCCGGAATGTTATATACGATCAGGCTGCTTCAAAACCATCACTTCACAGTTGTATTTCGTTGAGTGCGTTTACAGTTCCGTTTCGGAAACCGGAGACATCGGAATTTTGGCGCCGTACCACCGACGCGATATCAGTGACAGTGTAAATGGTTATGTTGCCGTGCTTACTTGCCATACGCGTTTTATCGTACACGTAGCCGTATTAGATCGTTTTCAGTATCTTTATTGCACAATCGTACGGACTTTTGATCGAAATTGTGTTCACGAGTGAATACCTCGCATCAGCAATAACGTGGAATCAAGGTTATATCCTGTGCGTCTTTTTCACTCGTATTGTCAAAATCAGCTGCCATTGCTATAGCATGCGATTCTACTTGTTCTTTTCGGTTTTCCTTCTTTTTTCTTGGCTCGAGCTGTGCTCATCGTTCCCGAAATTTCATTCAGGATTTACGATTTGTTGTTATGTTTAGTCGTACTGAGTCATACGCGGCAAGTTGATACTTTCGTTTATAACGAGCAGTATATTTTACATCGAATTTATGCATCACCGATTTGACGAACACAAGCAGATACCGGAGTAAATTTCGAGTAGTGTAAATAAAATTAAATCGGTTTTCTGTAATTTCTAAGTAGGTGGTAGCTGCTTTGGACATATTATACTTATTTGTTTAATAATTTTTGTCTTTTTTTTTTTAAATAGTAATAGAAGATAGTAATGTTTTTAACTTTGAATTTTGTCACATGAGAACAAATGAACTAATTTTTTGACAAAGTATACATAATTATTTGAACTTTATATATATATTATAGTTTATACTATTATTGAATAGCTATTGTTACAAAATGATATTGAATCATAGTTGGAGTAATACGTAAAATACGTAATTGTAAGTTTACTTTTTATTTCTATTTGTGTATTTATAAAATGTGTTGCAGGTTTTGGAGATTGATGTTATATTGTGCATCTGTGTAACACGGAAATATAATCACACATAAAGTACATTTGTTCATTCCTGTTGAAAGAAAAATACAGACAGTAGAAGTGAGGGTTAAGTGTGATAGTAAATGCAGTGGTTGAGGAAGAGATGGACCCATCAATGTTTGTTCCATACACTCCTCAAACAAACGGCGTCCCATTGGAATCCAAGCTTGCTACCTACATGGTAATTATTTGCAATTTATTTGAAAAAACTCCTAATAAAGATATTGTTTTATGTTATATTATACTATTATATATATATATATACACAAAATATCCATTAATAAGTTATAGAAAAGATACACATTAATATAATTTTATTATATATTTTTGAACAGAATCGTCAAAATTCAGCGATAGCTTTAGGCACTACAGTTGTTACGAAACATCTGTCAAACCTTTCTCTGGATTCACAGAAAAAGGTAACTGCCAGCCCAGAATTTGTACCTGGAAGAACTCTTACTGGTAGTAATAATAATTCTCCGAACCTTTTCAATAATTCTTATCACTCACAGGAGAATGTGGGTGGTACTACATATTTCTACCTTGGGAATGCAGCAGCTGATGCTGTTGGAACTGAGGAAGGAACTGAAACTGTAAGTAGCTGTAGAAATTCAGAAAAGTTTTTTGTTACTTCTGCTCAATTGATTAACGAATTAATTAATATCTTTTGTGTCTAGATTGGAAATGTAGGAGCAGGTCAGATAGGCTATGTCTATCCAGGTACACCTGCGCACCTCCAACCAGTAAAACCTACAAAACCTGTGTCATCTAATAGTTCTTCAGCTCCCTCAACCCCTCCCCCTCAAGCAACCACCGGTTTTTTTGTCAGTGAGAGTTTGAGAATGGATATTGTCCAAAAAAATGCTTTAACGTTAGCACAACCTGATGTAGTACGATTTCCCGATCTACCAAACGAGGTAGATAATTATCATGAGTTGTGTCCATTGGAACCAATTCACAAACCTGCTTCAACGATGCTGGGATATCAAACTTCTACGTACAAAGCTACCAGCATTAAAAGCGGTACACGTTACTGTCTGCGACGTGTACATGGTGAATATCTCTATAACCTTATGAACTATTTAATACCGTGTAAGAGGTACGGAACTGGTAATGAAATAAGCATTTATTATGTTTTTAGATTTCAGACTTGCTAATACAAAGTGTATGATGCTGGTAGATATGTGGAAGCGAATATCACATACAAATTTAGTGCAGTTAAGAGAAGTTTTTACCACCAAGGCTTTTGGTGACCATTGTATGTATTAACGTCTTAAAACGAAATTGATAAATGTACTTCTATGAAAATCTTCTTTTATGAAAATGTACTTTTATTATTTCAGCCATGGTATTTGTTTACGATTATCATCCGGGGTCAGAAACCCTATTAAATAAGCATTTTTCATCTACCGAGGTAAATGGTTATACGGATCCATTTTCCTCGGACCCTAATGCTCCTCGTCCTTATAGTCATACGAAGAATACAATTTTGAGACAACAGCATAGTAGTATGCTATCAGAAAGCGTCATATGGAGCTATATTATTCAGTTAACTGCCGCACTCCGTGTTGTACACGCTGCTGGTTTGTATCTATCAATTACATTACCTTACATCTTATTTGTTTATTGTTTAGATAATTAAGTAATTTTTTTTATTTTGATGATTTATAGGTTTGGCATACAGATGTTTAGATCCTACAAAAGTGTTACTTACATCACAAACAAGACTACGTTTAAGTTGTGTAGCTATACCAGATGTTGTTACTTTTGATGGAAATGCAGCGAATCCACTTTCGCTTATAGCGCACTATCAGCAAGAAGATTTAATCGCCTTAGGAAAGTTGGTGTTGGCATTAGCATGTCGCAGTCTCCTTTCCGTCCATCGCGACAACATGCAAGCCTCCCTCGAGCTCGTCGCACGTTCCTACTCTGCGGATCTTCGAAATCTTATTCTGTTAGTATACATTTTATCTTTCTCATAGATTCTTTTTACTCATTAACTTCTAACATGATGAAAGCAGTACATTTCTTCATCAATTTAACATTTCATTGTTTAACTTGATTTATTTATAATCATCTTGAGGTAATACCTTTTATGAGAGACAGATTTTATTATAAAATTGACACTTTTGATAAAGAAAAAAGAGGTGACACATCTTATGTTACCTAATGCATCTATGTTCGTGTTAATGTATGTTCTCATAAACGAATATAATTTTATAGGTATTTACTTTCGAATCAAGCACGAAGAAGTGTAACAGATCTCATGCCGATGATTGGAGCACGATTTTATACGCAATTAGATGCAGCTCAGCTTAAATCTGATATATTGGAGAATGAACTTGCCAAGGAATTAGAAAATGGAAGATTATTTAAATTACTAGTAAAGTTGAGTACTATTAACGAAAGACCCGACCTTAATATGGAACCTACGTGGGCAGAGACGGGCGACCGATACATGCTCAAATTGTTTAGAGATTATGTCTTCCATCAGGTAGCAGCTGATGGAAGACCTTGGTTGGATATGGCACATGTTATATCTTGTTTAAATAAGTTGGATTCTGGCTCACAAGATAAGGTATATTTTTTCTTTCCAAAATCGTATTTTTTTTTTTGTTTTGTTTTTAAAAGAAACTTCAATTTCTTTAGTAATATACAAAATATTCAAATAATTAAAAATCGTTCAATATGTACTTTAAAATGTATTTTTCTAATTTTATAGGTATGTTTGATGTCACGAGATGAACAGAGTATATTAGTAGTAAGTTATGCAGAACTACGACAATGCTTAGAGACCTCATTTGGAGAGCTGGTACAATCCACAAAAGAAGTTGTTTAGATCCGTGCCACATTTTTTCTTGGTTGACCAGATAATACATACTCTAAACTGCAAATGTGATATCACGATTGTATGTTATTTTAATCTTTATGAAGACATAGAGTAAGATTTAATCTAAGAATTAAGTTTGGCGATAAGAATAATAGTACGTGAACCAGTTTGTAAGCATGATTACAAGGTTGATTGAAGGATTATATGCAAAATACATTCTGGTATTTGAATGTAATATATGTATGTGTGTAAGCAGTATGATGGTGCAAATCAGAAAGCGTCTGATCTTATTGTGAAAGCTATTACGGTAGCATACAAACAAACAAAAGATTGTACACAACGTAAAGATGTAATGAATTCTTAAGATGTTTTGTGCGTGAATACACCTAAACACAATCAGTGTATAGGATAGATCTTAGTTTTTAGGATACAACTGATAAGCATTAATTTTGAAATAAATGTTTATTTTTGAAAGCAATCTTAATCGATCCTGTGTAGTTATTTCAAAGTGACATGCCATTAAAAATCCACGATATTTCTCTGTAATAATATATCTTTATATTTTATGTATCAATAATTATAAACGATGATATTTGATACTCGCAGAAATCTGGTATTTCGTTTGTTCCAGTTTATCCAGCTGGCAATCTGTAGATTCGGTTCTTGAACTGTCCTATCTCCATCCCCTGCCTCTCTCCGCCTCTGTTCGACTGCTGTCCGCAATCACTCAAACTTGATCTCATTTCCTTCGCACAATTGCACGACCGCAGCACAGGCAGACTTTTGCATACACGCACACTCTCTCAATAGTATCATGCACATGGTTGCCGCTAGCGATTTATTCGTGAAATGCAACCTTAAACCAGAACTTATGCATGTATTTTTCAACGGTACACAAGTTCAGGGGTAATACCTATATATATTTTAAACAACAATTTTCCTATATATAACTTGTTGTAACGAACGAAAATTGCGTAATTACATGATTACAATGTGTCACATTATTCCTCATTTCTAATGCTCCGTATCGACGCCCATGCATTTATCCTACGTACGTCCTGTGGTTCGAATAAGTGTTTAACTTATATGTGCATGTATGGCTGACCATGGAGTCGAAATAAAAGGCATATTAGACATCTGTTTCTGTCCAAGACACGTCAACTGACTCGGCTGAACCCGTCGTTCTACACCTAATTGTCTTAATGCCGACGTGATTTACTCCCCCGTGCCGTGTCACTTCTGACAATTACTTCTCGTATACGTATCAACCATATACACGTAGTACGACCGCGTGTAAGTCTTCATTTTATTCGACATCAACCCGCTAACCCAGAGACGTCACGCTAACATTATGCGATACTTTTTTATCACATTCAACAATAATATACATTGTTCATAAAAATAATATTTCTTATTATCAATAATTTTTATGTGTCACTAATTATTCTGTAAAAAAATCTTATAATAATATCAGTAGAACATTTTTTTAATATCAGAAAAAACATACGCTAACAAACTTCAACGTTGCTCAATAGTCGCATTAATATCACTTTGTAATTTTTATACAAATTTTATAAATTTGGCGAGTAATTTTAGGGATTTACTTTACGTATTTTTTCATATAACTTTCATTTTGATTTCTTTTGAAAATGTTTTACACTTTAGTAGTCGGTAGATCCAGTTAAAGTAATCTGGTCGATCTATCATCTTATAAACACAATGAAAGATCTAAGATACACCTATAACAAGATCGTAAAATAGTGTTCACTTTAAATCCAGTTCCGCCGGTCGTTAAGAAACTTTAAACTGACGGCCGGAGCAGCGAACCCTTGCGCAAGGCGATTTTTTTTCTGATCGTCCCACGATCGTGAAACTGGATTGTACGGAAGGTCGCATGAAGCACATCGTCAGTGTATGGGTTGGAAAGAGACTAGTCGGTATGTCTCCCGAGCGAGAAACCACTCCTGGCTGGCAATTAAGGAACCAGCGAATGTATATGACCTGAGCTTGGTGAGGAAGAACGTCTAACTTCTTCTGTGTGTTCCAAGAAATGCGAGATACCAGTGAAACATGCTCGCGCAATATATGGTATATTGAGTGTCCCGTCCATCTGTAGTTATTCCCCTCTTGTCCCTTCTGCATGTTGACTTTCGTGAAGTCGAGGTAATTTAACGATAAAAAATTTTACCAGAATTCATTTATCGGACGTGTAGGTCGAACAAGAACGCGCCACGACTATTGGTCAACATGAAGTTCGTTAGCGCGTGTTTTTCTCCCTTCCCATAACGGTTAACTGTTCCTCGGCTCGTGCACACGCACACGAACATCGTACACACCATGTTTTGCATCCGATTCGTTTGAATCGATATTCTTGCCTACTCACAGTCGTGGTTTAATCGCCACGTTACGGAGATTAATCGTTGGCTAGATACGAGAGACAAGTTATCTGGTAATGTATGTGTGTCGTGGAAAATTTACATGACGATGGTAGTAACACGATTTACGTAGGAAATACGAGGTTGATTAAAATATGTAATCGCTACTTTTAACGATATCGTTTCAAACAATTTTCATCCTCTTTATCCCATTTCTTTTTTAATTAGCAAATGCAAATGCTGGGAAATGCTTGGATAATTTAGTATCCCAACGACGCCACAATATACGTAATACCTCACGAGCAAAGTTATTTGTCAATTCTTGTTAAACGCCAAAAAAGGGAATGTAACGCTAGTACATAACACGATTGTCAGTAAAAACAAACTTGCAAAATACGATGGCGTGAATTACGTTTTCTAATTTAAATCTCATTTTATGTCACGCTTCTCGTGCTATCGTCTATAACGCTTCTACTTTATCTGTATTTTTCTTTCTAACTACAGGGGTATCGATTCATACTTGTCTCCCACGATACAACATTGTATTTGAAATTTACATTTATTCCTAACCGTAATATTATTACCATCGTCATTCGTTTACGTCTCCGTTCAAATTAATCCTTTAAACGATCCTCAAACATTGTTAAAACCTCTAATAATTTCGTATATTCATCTGGAGGACATTGATCTATATTTATTCTCTAGATTATTCTCGAGTTTAATCCTAGCGGGGCTTCATCTCTTTCCGCTTAATCCTATCGTTACAAACGATTAGCAACATTATCTCTTGGCGATATAATATTTATCATTTCCATGACTGTAGAGGCAAAACCCGCGGAGCAGCGATGCAAAATAGCAGGCAGGTTCTATACATTACAGGTATAGTTTGAAAATATCCTTCAGCGCAGTGGAACGATACGATGGGGCGACGTTGGTAGCGGCAACCCCGCGCCGCGCTGCTTGTGCGAGGCGAAGGTTGCTGCTGCGTAGACTCGGAGGGATGGTAGAGAGGCACAGACACAGAAGAGGGAAGAGGTCGTCGTGGAGCGAGTAGAGCGGTAGTGGCTCTGGCAGCAGCAACACGTAGTACACGGTAGCACCGCGACGAGGACGCACACGGTTCGTATCACGTCGCTTTGGTAGTTAGTAGTCGGTAGACTCGCTTCGAGCCAGTCTCACTTCGGTCCAGTGGCGCAGTCGCGTTACGCGTATACATTTTTTCGTATCTCCAACCACTACCAGCGGGGCATCACCATCGCTACACCACCACCACTACTACTACCAGCGTCGCTGTTACCACCGCTACTACCACCTGCATCGTCGAGCGTGTCAACATACACGTAAACGTCAGGAGGACTACCAAGCCACATCGGGTTGTTCCTGGAAAATAAGCAAGAGAACATTTACATCTTCGAGACGGCGCGAGGTATGTAATATACTTATCATTTCCTTTTTTCCTTCAGAAATTCTTTCTCTATTATAATTCTCATGTCGATCCACGAGCGTGAAAATGGTGGACCTTTTACGTGCGCGGGTTCCGTGACGGAAGTGATCACGCGTCGTCGATGAAGACGCGAAGCAATTTTCTTCTGGAGCACCGCCGTGTTTCGTTCTACACGCTCTCCGTGTATTCCCATCGATTTTCCACGGCAAGACCCGCCCTGTAATTTACCGTTCTCTTTCTCTATAAGTATACCTTACTCTACCTCTCATTTCGCGCCTACGATTTGCAATCTAATTTTCATTTTTTCCAATTATAAGATATTAGATTTGGACATAATGTTGTATCTGTGTGGAAACATTAATATAATCTTCTCGATTATCGAGACGAGTCTGCAGATCCCTTTTTTCGGCGAGCGCGCTCGTGTTTGCCGTCGACGATCGATGGACTCTATCGGCTTCTCTCTTTCACCCTCTATCGACGAATCATGGTTAGCCATTTCTTTCTAACGTAATACGCTTGTTAGACGGCCTCCCTCGATGGACCACGCGTCTTACGTATCGATTCTCGATAGAATAAGAAGATCGAAGCCCGATCGTTGTTCAGCATATTTTCACCAGACTTTTCTCATATGTCCAGAAGTGTGCAGAAACTTGCACGCTTTATTATTCGTCCATTTTTCATACGAGTTTTTAATATTGATATAAATATATTTCTTGCATTTATATGTGCAATTTATTGTAAATATCTCCTTATCATTTAACAAATTTATTTTGTTTTTAAATTTGAAAAATTTTTAATTGCATTTTATTCTAAATAAAAAGAAATTTCGTAATAGACAATTGAATCATCTTTTTCACGTTCTGAGCTTATTGTTTACGTTCGATGTTCCCTGCGTATTGTTTTTCTCGTTGAAAGTGTAGAGACATCGGTCTGCATCTCGAATTACAACCGGCAAACCCCATGAACAGAAAGAATTCATTGGAAGGAACTTTGCCAACGCTTCGACCGACAGTTCTAAAGTAGTTTTAAATTTTACACGAGAGATCGAATCTATTGTTGGAATTGAAAATAGCTATGAAGGTATTTGAACGTAGAATCTGATATACCGTCAAAGTTTCTTCTAGAATTTTCTTTAACTTATTTTCATTTAAATTATTCCTTTTTTATAATCTTATTTCTCATTTTTGAAAATTTTGAAATATAATTAGACTTTAAGAAAGCAAGATATAGATATTGCAAATATGACAGCATGAGTTTCACATTCAGATAGAAGATTCTTTATGTACATGACATAATATAGCATTTCATTCTCCATGAGTGAATTGTATGCTAGGATACAAATCCATTTATCTCAGTTAGAATTTCGGACAGCAAAAAGATCAGGTTAAAGATGAAATCTTTGTTATTTGAGTAGTTAAAACACCAGACATTAAACATTCTGTAATATAATTTTAAAGGAACCGGTATTTCCTATAAAAATGGTAATTACTCCATAAAATATCCGAAATGATCTTCTTTTACCAAAGTTTTCTAAACGAAAACGTGGTAAAAAAACGCGTGGCGATATGACAGTACACTTAATGGATACACCACTTTGAAGATACCGTATTCCATAAAAAGGTACTATATACACAGTTCACGCGCATGGACTTATCACACATACATAGATACATCTCTCCCGGCTTTTTACGCAATAAGGTCTGCTTCTCGATATGAAAAGTGTAATACATGTTTATCTTGGATAGTACACAGGTTCCGTAGGATAGCCAATGATTAACGATTTTTTTTTCGAGCTGTATGCGTCACCCTCTGTACGTTCGTGTGTTAATTCATTAAAGGATATCGAGTAGGCGACATGATGTTGCAACAACCCTTTGAAGCAGATAACACTTGAGAAAAACACGTCGGTCCAGATATCGGCCATTTTTTTCTTCATTCCCCTTTCCTCGATGATAAATTCAGTTGCACCCAGTTTAGACGAAAATGGTAACAATAAGATTATTCGTTAGTAGCTTTCTTTCTTCTCGCAAAATGTTACCGTAATTCACTACTTTACTACGCGTTCTCTAAACATGTGCACCGGTGTTCCTAAAAACTTTTTCCCTAAAAGTTTTTAACTAGCGATTTCAAAGTCCAAGGAACAAATGTTCCAACTTTTATTTAGCAGATGGCATTGACAATAGATGTTAAATTAACTCTCATGGAGGGTTGACGTTGGCAGTTTGATAATGTTAATAAAACATAATGTGTATGTATGTATATGCTTCGATAAGTGATACTTGCTTGATAGTGTTAAAGATATCAAGAAACTACTCTCAGTCATGTTTTGCTGGTTTCATTGGTTTCACTGGGTGAATTATATGCGGAAGATGGGAATTTGCAAACGAGAAAGGTACTTAAAAAAATAAGAAATTACATCGTTCAGAATTATTAAACTGTTCGTATAAACGTTTTCACCGGGCGACAAAATAAATATTCAAAGCTTTCTCAGTGAAAGCGAGTCTCTTAATTGTTTCGACTAATGTAGTACGAAAAGTTTCGTCGCGAGTATCACGTAGAAATGATAAGAAACGCACAATTATAAATAATATATTTTCTTTATCTTGTATCTGTGTTTCTAACAACTTTTTGAAACTTATCCTTTTTACTGTACCATAATAAAACTATGGATGTTTATCTCTTCTTTCGATATTTTCTTTCCAGTTAAAAAATGTTGATCTATTATTGAATACCTTAAAAGATGAGAGTTAACTTAAACTTAAACCAACTAAAATATCAAATTTCCATGATTCTTTTTTGCAACAACTAAAGTATGTATGCAGGCTAAGTCGTAATCGTATATAAAAAAGAGTTTCGATTCTGGTGGATCGTCGCGAGCGTCTAACATGGCGGAGACCCTGACAAAAAAGCGTATCTGTGTGACTGATATCGTGAGAGAAATTATCACCGATGGAAAAAAAGGAGGGTTGACGCGCTTCGCCATCGCCAGCGAATTAAGTTACACGAGAGCAATTTGAGGGGAAATTGCGTGCAATATTTGCCATTGCCGTGATGGAATCATATTACGTGCGAGAAAGAGGGTTAGGGAGGGAGGAAAGTAAAAAGGGAGGGAAAAAGAAGAGAAGCACGGGGCCTCGACAACATGTGAGCAATTCGCGACGTCGTGTTTTATCGTGTCGGAAAAGGTTTCACGATGATACTGTGACATGCATATTTTTCACGGGATCTCGAAAGACTCGGTTTCGCCCACGGAAAACTGTCTCGATTTTCTTTCGTAGCATATAGTACACGCGAATAACAGGATAGCTTGATATATGAATCTTGAAGCACGAGTGACACTCATTTTCTGATTTCCTGCTTATCGTAATGTCTATGTTTATTCTTAGTGCCACTGACATTTGTACCTCCTCTGAAGCAGATTAAAATTATAACGCGACTTGAAGCATAACGCTGAAATTCGCTGATAGTTAAAGTTCAAAGTGAAATACAAATTGGTATTCGTGATCTTTGTATATGAAGACTATTTATCCATACGTTAATGTTATTAATTTTTTAATTATCGTGTACAAGGGCATAGATAAATTCTTGTGCTCATTCTCTGCACACATCTAAAATTAGATACAATTTTTTCAAATCTTGCTTTTCAAAGAAAAAATGTAAATCAGTTTGTCTACATGTAATTTTATATAAAACTAATTTATTTATTTCATTTCTAGATACCCTGTATAATTTATCGTACTTATCGTATTACATTGTGAATTAAAGCTGATTTCGTATAAGTCTGAAGGTCTATTAAAAATATGAATGCATTTAGACGTATCATGACCGTATTACCACGCTATATTTCCCTCTTTAATTAACCTCAATTTGTGTTACATGTGGCGACATAGTTGCCGCCAATTTGCAAGCATCTCGCGTTCCCCGAGCAGTTTATCGTATCGACAGTATCGTACGAATCGCGCTGCTAAATTGTCAGCAAGACATATAGGCTTGAGGGCGGTGTGCGATCGAGGTTCATTGTCAGCACCATATCCAGATAGCATATCATGCGTATAACCATACGAGTTTCTTGCTGGAATAGGTTTCTATTGAAAAAGCTCATTTGCGATAGTTTCGTAATTCGAGCCAGACTATTCCCCCCCCCCCTTCTGGCAAAGAAGAGAATAGAGAACGAAAAAAAGTCCAATAAATGAGGGAAATCGTTGACATAATATCCATGTTAAACAGGAGTATTTGAATTCAAATGTTCCTCTGCTTTTTTACATATAGGAAAAAAAAGAAAAAAAAATAGGTAATTTTTTCATGTGGATAGAACATGTTTAAGCACATTTTAATTTAATCGGTTTTAATATAACGTTTAATAGTTTCTCTATTTTGGACTTAACATTCAGAATGATATTCTTTCATCAAGATATAAAAATGTATTAAATATCATTAACATATCATTCTTATATTCTACAAGTTAGAAACATTTAAAGAAACGTTCGATTATTTATACATTACAGTAATACAAATCATGACATCCGAAATTTGATCGATGCACTCTACACGTTCGATCACGAGCGATTTGTACATATGTCACCATCGGGCGTTTATCTGAAAAAACGCGTAATATTCTAGACATAATCGATTCTAGACATTTCTAAGAACATAGACTTATGTAAATAAATTAACCTTCCTCTCCTTCCTCTTTTTCTACATTATGCATTAGCCTTTTTCATGTTTGACAAGGACTTCCGTCCGAGAGTCTTCCGTTAAGAGATCCTAACCTCTTAGAATTTCAATGTTCCCATAGATATTCATGATATTCCTTTTCCGCTTTTCGTCAACTATTTTTATTCAGAAAACGTGGACGAAAAGTGGTTTCATAGAATACTACATTCTTACATTCGAAAATTTGTTAAAATGTCGATTACTATCTGATTCTGACAAGGTCAGTTATACAGTTAACTTGTTCGATAATTTATCGACCGAGCGTGTTATTCGATTCGATCCACGAAACTTGCTATCTGCCTATTGTAGTTTAACCCTTTAAATACGGGTATATTTCCATGAATCGTTCCTAATCATATAGTATAAACACAAAGCTATAATTATTTGTATAACTATCATAAAATAAAGTCTTCAATAAGCGATTCCTTCATCTTAAAATTATTTAATATTTTAATACCGCTCACTGAAATTTTCGTTTTGTCGTCCATTGGCGGAAGCCATATTTAAAAGGATTAAACATTTGTATCCGAGATTCAACGATATCAATTGAAATTTCTTCGGTCGACATGTCACTGCTTTTTCAATGAAGCCATTCTTTTTGTTTGCGTGGCTAGGAACACATTCATGCTTTCGAGTGTTTGCGATGTAAATCATCGCGCGGGCGAAACATTTCGTCTTCTGGACTGTCGCAAAGGACGTAGAATGTCACATACAGTAGAAAATGCGGTTTTACTCGTGGATATATTGTATGTAAATGGCGCACAGTTTACGTCGTTCCGTTTCTCTTTACCTTTATAATAAACGTCTTAGCTTCCTGTTCCCCTTCTCCATCGGGGCGAAATGTATTCGTTCTGTCCGGGGTTTTAACCCTTTCACCAAGTATTACAGCCAGGCGCAATATATAACGCGTAATAGCTACAAGTGAACACTTTTCACGCCCGAGGAATAACCTCCTTTTCCGAATTACCTTACGAGAACGATCCATCCGGCAACTGTCTTGAAATTTCGTTGACAGAACTAAGAACACACAGATTGCACGCGATGTTTGTGTTATTATTTCAACTCTATACAATAGTAGCTACAAAAAATATTTGCACGTACCATTATTTTCTAATAAAGTATTTGTTATCAGATTCTATATTTGAACCTATCAGAGGACAAATTGATTAATCCCATTTTTTATGAAATTCTCCATTTCATTACGCAAGTATACAAGGTATCGTCTATGAAATCCTGTAATAAAGTAAAATCTCTTGACAAATCGGTGAAACGTATCCCCGTTATTTTCATTTCACTAATGTTAACGCGATATCTTTATTTGGTTAAAGATAATCTTCCCCTATTCAAACATTTCTCTTCCCGTGCTTCCTCTAATAGGAAGTATATAAATCTCATATAAACACTAAAAGCTATCCTACTGAAAACCTACAGTTAGAGCACAAAAAGCAAAAAGTAAAAATACTTTGTACAATTAAAATTAGAAATCTTCTTGTTTTATTCTACTTATGTAACAAAAGTCAAATCTATGAATTGTCATTCGTCATAGAATCATAGGTTAGTAAGTAATTATACATGAGACCTATGTTAATGACTTCATATATTGATAACCTTTCAAACCATTCCAAACATTAAGTTAAGTATCACAACTAAAAAAATCGAAAAAGGAATAGTACCTTTTTACGAGTTAGGGGATTGTATCGAAATTTTAACGAGAATTTCGCCTTGTAACAGAGAAGCATCAGAGGTGAAACGACGAGGTGTCTTGTTGCTCATAGGGGATAGAAAAGAGAGAGTCAGCGAAGCTTCCCCGGTTCTCTCGAATAGCCGGAAGATACGGTACCGGAAATACCACGGTATGTAAACGGTCGCCCCTTCTTTTCCTTCCTTCCTCGTTTCGTGATCTTTTCCTAGCCGCTGCAAGGAAAATGGATCGTCTCGTAACGATCTCACCGTAAGACGCTTCTTATCCCGGCTTAACGCGACTCTCTTCCACCTTTTTCCCCTTTCTTCTCTCTCTCTCTCTCTCTCTCTCTCTCTCTCTCCTCTTTCCCGTTTTCTTCGTCGTTTACCTCCACATCACCTTTTCTTTTTCGCTTCCCTTCAAATCCTACGACAGCAACGTGTCGCTGGCACGGCCTTATCGGAAGCATCTAGATTCCAAGTCGGTTCGCTTAACGCTCGCCGAATAATCGTTCGCTCGCGTCCTCTTCTCGACTCTACTTTTGGTCAGTTGTCTTGGGTTTCAAACGAGATCCCCTAGCTTGGTGATCTGGTTACCGGTTTTGCAGGCTCGACACTCGATTCCATCAAATGCTCTTCGTGACTGTAGTAATTACGATTATTATTGTTGGTGTTATCTTATAGTAGGGATGTGTGAGGTTAGGTTGCGAATATTCACCGGAGGAGGGCGAGGGGGCTTTTGACGAGTACAATCTAAAAATACTAGTCATAAGGCGCGAAGTTCATTGTTTCCGTAGTCATTGGCGAAATCAGTTTAATGATTCACGTGTAAGTAACTGAATGTTCGTCAAATAGCTAATTTACTTTAATGAGCATCTACTTTAATGGTGTCTGTACAATATAGGTAGTTCAGTCTGGTAAATGAATTTTCAATCCATATTCTCTAAAACTCAAAACAATTCCTCCTATCATAGAATAGAATAGCGCAATTATAGCTATAAAAATCAAATTTTACATTCGATGAAACGTAAATGATGCATCGGTGGCGAAGATGATAAAATATATCGTTGGAATTTATCATGGTAACAACAAATCGGCAATTTTAATAATTTCAACACGTTGGTATCGCATGTAAATGAAAGATGCACGCGTGCTTGAAATTACCGTGGTAAATATTAATTTTCTCCGGCAACATCGCGCAATTTCGTATCGTTTTGCTACCAAATTAGGGGGAATGCATGGTAACTTCGTTAAGACGTCGTGCAGCACGGCACGGCATCCCAATTAACCAGAGATAATTAATTGGGATCTATTGTTCCAATTGCATATTAATGTCAATTTGCATGGACGAGTTCCTCGTCATCCCTTTCGCGACTTAAGTGTCCCCAGACGTAGATGTATATAGATGAAATTGCAGCCGCGTTTCCAACGAGCAGCATCGTTTCGTTTTAAAACGACCGCAGCGAAGATAATGTCAAGTGTCGTGTGCCGTGGGATCTCGAAATTTCGTTCGCCATTCTTCCTCCAATTCTTCGTCGAATTAATCTTTCTGTCGAATCTTTTGAAGAGCATAATTTCATTTATTTTTCATCTTTTTTGCTTCAAGCACTTTAAACTGAAATTAACAGAAATTGCATTAGTGTATAATATAATGGTGTAACAATAAATGGAAGAAGGAAAGTGGAAGATGATGTAGCAAGTTGTGAATGAAAGGGAATGAAACAATTAGTAGACATGAAAGCTACACGCTTTATATAACAGTGTTGCGAATATATAGTTGAAATTTTGAGAGAAAATTGTGTTTAAAGTTCGGTACTTTGTACGCACTGAAGATGTACTTGCACGTAATATTATTTACTGATGACACATATGTAATCTAAAATTGTGGTAGGGAAACATATTCGGTTAGTAAGTGGAAAGACTCGAGTTTAGGTTACTTTGGTAGATATTTGGATAATAAAATGAACTGGTTCCTTAGAAGTTCAAAAGCATCTTTCCATCGCAGAGTGAACGTTATTAATACGCGATGTAATTTAAATGTATAGAGCAACTTCATACTATTATCATTTGGAAAGAAAATAATTAAATATAAGTAACAGAGAAAAAATTTGACACTAGAATATACGAGATAGAAACATCAATGGCACGGTATTAGAGTATATACATTAGCACACGTACAAGTCACTGATTGGACTAAAAGAGCCAAGTTCTCTAATAGTGGAGCATTTAACCCTGGAAAGACCTCTCTAGCATCCCGGGTCACTTGAGACCGCTTAAATTGTATCCACTTAGAATCAAATAGATTTACATCGACCACAACCTAACTACACGAAACAACTTCCTATCAAACACATAAATATATACTCATTTCCCTGCAGATTAATCATTCTAACAGCTCAACGAAATTGTTTTAGCAACGTTTAACGAAACTCATCCGTTCCACTCTGTTTCTCTGTTTCCTCTCTCTTTTCACTATAACAGCAACTCAACCAGAACCGCAAAAGACGATTAATAATTGAAGAAAACCGAGTCCCGGGTAATCCACAGATCCAGAGTCTCCTCCCAGTAGTCTCCCAACAGGGAAACGAAAACGGCGAGGAAAGGGAATCGCAGGGGACAGGGTTCACAATGCGCCGGAAGAGGCGAGCAAAGAGGCCAACGGAAGAAAGATTCTGTCGCTGGGCTCGCGGAACGAACGACGCGGATAAATGATTCACCGGGTCGCTGCGAGCATTTGCGTTTCCGCGCCTCGTCCCCCGAGCATTTCTTCCTCGTTCTTCTTCCTCTTCTTCCTTTTTCAAACACTCCCGGACAAATTTGTATTTCGCCGGAGAAAACCAGGTTCTCCTTAAGAGACGACGGGAAGAAACGAGTAAGAGAGAAGAAAAGAAGGAGGCTTTGCGAGAGGAATAAGAGGGACGTCGAGGAGACACATGTACCGGATGGACCGGTTATAGGGGTTGAAGGGCGGAAATTGAAGATTCTTAGGGCAGAAGATAGGAATTTATTGTGTCATCAGTAGTAATTACGCGGAATCGCGAAATTATATGGCGACGGTAGGCTGTAGATTTCTTTGTGACGATGTGCACTGACCCGGATTTTCGGTGTTTGCTTCGACAAGCGAACGGTAAAGGCGAAGAAGAAGAAGAAAAGAGGGGGGGGGGGGTGGAAGTCCCCTTTGGACTCCTGCGAACTTTCTTGTACTCTCGATTAAATTGATCTTATCGAAGACCGCGACATGCTGAAATTCCACTCCCCCTCCACTCCCGATTCGACCTCCGTTATGATCAGCAAGAAATCGGGAAACGATTTTCGCCTCATAAGTCCGTTTACTATTGTACATAAAAATGGCTCTTTATGTGACTCGATGATGAATTTTGAACTCGAGTAGGGTACTCCTAAAAATATTCCTTATCTTTCGGAAGATTAATGAACGAGGAGATGCTTTTTTTGATATAGTTATGATACTTTGATTATTTCGGAATCTTTTTTGTGACGATTTTTTGTCGCTGTCTTTTTTTGGTAATAGAATATTTTTAATGAATTTATGATGGTTTATTATCACTCTTATCACTTTCAGAATACATAATCATTAATTTTAGATTTATCTTTCAATAGCGTTTTGTTTTATTTTTAGTTTCTACTTGAAACTAAGTGCCTGACCGTTTTGAAAAAAATATTTATTACTTCCCGGTGAGAAGTTTGTTTTTATTCTGTATAACGAATGACTCGCATATGAAGCTTTGTTTATATTTTATTTATTTGTAAAGCAAAATCAGTAAGTAACCTTGATATCCGTTTTTCGATAAGTAGTGAAAACGATTGCTCGAAAAACCTGATGTGTCAGTATACTGAAAAAAAGGAAGTCGCAATAGCACACCGATACGAATTATCTTTAACCTCTGCCGAACGCGTGATGCTTTCCTCTTGCCTTGTCAAATATAGTCGAAATATATTTTTACTACCTTATAGCAGTCTTAATGTAGACAGATGATTTCTTAAAATTATTCAAGTTGTTATAAATCAAATAATTATGAAAAAATATAATACAGAACAACATAAAAAAAAAAAATGAAAAAACTAATAGGATCAAACGGAATTTTTGATAAAATATAGATTTCTGCGAAACGAGTTCTAAAAAAAAAAGAGTAAGAAAAGGAAAAAAATAAAAACTTCATTTCGGAAAATTTTTTAAGTAGTAAATTATATTGTCTGAAATAAAAAAAATGTAATACACCGGGAAAAATTTTGATTGCCAACCTGGTACGAAACTAGCAACGCGAGCTGCAGATACTCGGCGAATGACCAGGCTATTGGACATCATTGCTTTCGGTGGTAACACGGTGTTACAATCTGATGCAGCTCGTCCGTGTCGGTAATCGTGGTCGCAACACGCGTAAAAACAGCGAAATAGGTGGCACTTAGGCAGCTCGGTACATCGACGATTCGTAATATTTTATTATTCATTTCCGTCCATGAATTATTCATGTGAACAGGAATATAGGGGGCTGCCTGACAGAAAAACTGTGGATAATATTCAAGCTCATTATTTTATAAGCGTTATAATACTTCTCTTAGGAACAGATTTTTCAAGCCCATCCTCTATGTCTCTGCCTTATACTTCACATTTGCATATTTCGTACAGAAACGATGCAAGAGAAAGTTTTAATTGGACATACCCTCGCAGACGATACTCGATAACAGTTTCGTATACCGAAATACTTTCGTAAATATATGTATTACTGCGAAAAGCATCGGGATACTTGTTTACTTTTGATAGGATTTACTTCAAATAACGGCTACGGATGAATCAAACGACAATGATTTTATTGTTTGCGATCAACATCACTACATTTAATAATAGGAAAGTTTAAAAGAAATGCATATACGTAGCATACAAAAATACATAGAATATTTAAAATATAACGCATATGTTAAAATATTTAGAAGCTAGAAATGAATTTTTATTTAGATTTCATTTCTTTAGTTGTATCAATAAAAATTAGAATTTGTATAAACATCTACAGTCTAATGATTATAAAATAATGAAATCAATTTAGTTCACCTGTAATTTAATAATAATTGCAATACATTTTGTTGAAAACAAATAAATAACTGAATAATTTTTTACATAGCATACATAACTGATTCTTTCTTTCTTTGCCTCTTGAAG